CAGGATTAACTCTTCTGGGAGGCAGGGGTCCAGGCTCTGGTATGGAGCCAAAATTGAGGGGCTCATTGTGCAGGAGGGGGTGCCAGGGAGTAGAGTAGGGAGTGCAGGGTCTGAGTGGAAGGTAAGGTACAGGTGAGGCTGTGGGATCTGGGCAGGGGGGAAGGAGCAGGAGTAGGGTTGGGAGTCTGAGTGGAAGGGCGTAGGGGTTTTGGGGAGCCTATCTGGTACAGCTTCCAGGGGGCACAGGGAGGTTTGGAACCCCACCTACTCTTGCGGACGCCACCCACCCTGCTGTTCATATTGGCCATAATTCCTGGGCAATGAGGTTGGAGCCTTCAAGTGAGCATAGGGACAGAACCTCCTCTTCTCCCCCCCAGGTAGAGCCTGTGGGCTGGATGAGGCCTGTGGCTTGCCTTAATCTGGTCTGTGAGGCTTGGGGCTCCTCCCCATTGTGGCGGGGACTGAGGTCCAGAGACTAGTTATGTGGCTGTAGTGGCAGTCCCGGCTTACCCTGCTGCTGGCAGGGGGAACTCCAAGCCTCCAACTGAGAAACTCTTCTTCTGCAAGTTTGCCCCATCTTAGTGGTCCCTTGCTGATCCCAATTTTATAATGCATCTGAGTCATGCTTTTTTGGACTAGTAAACCTTATAGAACTTGAACATTGCAATCAACTCTCATCAGCACAAAATCTTTTGTCTTTAGAATTCTTTAAAAACATTTGTTTTAGTTTTCTTGCCTGCGAGAGTTGGCAATGGAACACATTGAAGGCAATTTTTAAATATGTACAATAAATCTTGTCCTTTTTTCAGTGTCTTTGTGAAACTACAGAAACCAAATGCTGCCATTAGAGACTGTGACAGAGCCATTCAAATAAACCCAGATTCAGCACAAACCTACAAATGGCGAGGGAAAGCTCACAGGTAATGTGCTGCAGCCATATTTCACCTCTCACTTCACTCATTAGTATGGGAGGCAATTTTGGTTTTTTCTACTCTAATCCATTATTGTTTGTGAATTGTTTGTGTAGCTAATGTTTTGTGGAAAGGAGGGATATGATTTTAATGAGTGTAAATGTTTCTGGGATTAAATGTCCTTTTATAAACCATCACCAAACTCTTCCAGTTAGTCATTGAATAGTCTTAATTATAGCACTATGATTGTTATCTCTGTGATTTGGAATCATGAACTGATGTAACTTTATTGCTAGTCTTGCATGCCAAAAAATCCAAACATACTTCATACTAGTAAAAATAAATTGTTTAGGACTAGTAGTGAAGGTTCCTATCTAAAGTGTCCAGAAACTTATAATGAAGTATAATTTTGTAAATTATTTAAATATTAACTGTATTGAGGAATAATAAAATGAGTCAATGTTTTGGGAGCGCCTTTTTAAGAAAATAGGATAAAGATTGAGTTTTGCTATGAAAGTAATGAAAATTGACCTTTCAGAAGTATTTAGCAAAGTCTGTAATTTCTATGGTGTTGTCTTGGTTAATTTATTCTCCTCTGCCCTGTGCATCTGAAGAATGATGATCCTTAAAGTTTGTAAACTTGTTTTGGAAGTGTATAACAGTTAAGGAGCAGCAAATAGACCATTACTAAAAATGCTCCTTAACATTAAAATTCAACATTTGCTGCTTTCCTTTGCACAAATTTATTCTGCATATATCACTTAACAGGGTGCCTCGTGGGTGGTATCTGCTTAAGATAGCAGCCCCCCTTTAGAAGAACAGTCCTGTTGTAGAACTGGTGATGAAACACTAGCAGAGTTTTCTAAAGGGCTTTGAAAATGTCTAATGTGCATTCTCATTTAATGACTAATCAGAAACTCCGCAACTGTGATAACCTGATAGCTACTTAAGTCAATGAAGGTTCAGATTCTTACTCCTGGTAAAAGTCCAAGTCACTGCACATGTAGAGTATTTATGTCCCCAACAGATTTTTGTTTTCCTGCAGAAAAATTATTTTCTGGTGGGGAAGCAAAAGAAAGCTACAAAAGAAAGTGGTCATGTGACTCTCCCCAGCACTATGTTTTGAGGGCCCACAGAAGACAGCAGAGAAGTAAATCACTGTAGGGAATGAGACTGAACTGAGGAACCTGGTTGTTGGCTCCTACCCTGTGCCAGGCACAGCTGCTAGTACCAGCTGGGCTGGGGAGGACAGGTCTTTCTCTTCACCTCCACATTTATTGACAACGTTTGCAGAATTTTAAAGTGTGTGCAGAATTTTTAATTTTTTTGATGTAGACTGCCCTTAGTTTTAATAGCATTCTGGTATGATTTCTATCTTTGGTGCAGTTGAATCTACTACACTCTGAAGTAGTGGTAGAGGGCCTGATAGAGCGGTGGAATGTCAGTGGTTTTTAATTTTTTTTTCCTGGCTGTGCCACTAGGTTGCTGATTAAGTTGTTGCATCTCTACTTTCATTTTTATCATCCATAAAATGGGGACATTTGCTTTCTTTGTGTGTCATTTTAAGATCTGTAAGCAAAAAATGCTGTGTAAGAGTCTGGTGGTGTTATCCTTAATATAATTGTCCAAGCAAAACGAGGCTCAATGCTAATTGAACAAGTGAAGCAAAACTTTGCACTCAAATTGGTGGCATCTCTCTCTATTTTTCTGTGTGTAATGTGATAACTTTTGAAACCAGCAGCTGATCAATTCCAAAATTATAAGAGATTCTCTATTGAGCAGGTAGTAGAACTGTAGTGATTTGGAGGGAAAATTGAAATAAGTCTGACTCTTACTAAAATCACTGTTTGGTTACTCATGATTAAGACTACAATTATATTATGGAATTCACAGAATCTGTTACTTTTATTGACCTCATGACATTTTCTGCCCCAAGGCTGAAGCTCCCAGACAGGCCTGCACTTGCAGCTCTCAGCCCTCACCCTTGTCAGGTACCCCGCAGCTGCCCAGCCATGGCAGGAGATGGAATGGACAGCTCCTGCAGCTACCTAGCTACCCCTTTTGTTAGGGATACTTTTAGTGAGAGTCAGGGACTGGGTCATGGCTTGGGTGAATTTTTGTTTCTTGCTCATGACTTGTCCATGATTTTTACTAAAAATATGTCTCAGAAACTTAGTCTTACTCACAATACAGTGGTGAGGCAGTGACCTCAGGGTTAGAGTAGGAGTTGGGGTGGCACAGAGCTGCTTCTGCCTGCATCACTAAATGGACTCTCTGAGCCTGTTTTTAGTGGAAATCCACCTAGTGGAAATCCGCCTAGTGAAAGCACCTCCAGCTGGACCCTTTAAGCCCCCTTCCTGCTCTGGTCAAAACCATATTAATTTTGGTGAAAACTGGAAAAGCAAACTTTTCTGGTTTTCTGATGTAGACAAGGACCTGGCAAGGTGTACAGCTCAACCTGCAGAAGCAGCAGACTTTTTAGCAATAGATATTTAGTTGAATAATAGTATTTTTGTAGGCTGTACAATAGCTGTTATTGAAGTATAATACACCTTGCCAAGGGAATACCTTGCTTTTCATAACACCCTCTTCTGTTGTTAAGAGAAATGGCACTAATTGGCTTCATAACGCTCATTTGGTTTCTCTTCCAGCAGAAGTTGTAGTTACTTTGTAGTGGTATAAAGCAGCATGGAAGTATTCCTGAAGGGCTTTATGCTCTTAGGGATTTTTTTCCCCATGACTTGCAATAATTATCAGTAAGTATTGAATTTTTATGAGACCATTGAGGTGCACTTTTTTTTTGTCCACTTACAAAAGGTTCACATGGATCTAAAAGGGATATTGACTACCACCTTGTCTGTTGCAAATTCAAGGATGGGAAAAAGACCTCTGCTAACTTCATATTGGTGTTTTCAATTCCAGACTCCTGGGTCACTGGGAGGAGGCGGTACATGACCTTGCATTGGCTTGTAAACTGGATTATGATGAAGAAGCTAGTGCCATGCTGAAGGAGGTGCAGCCAAGAGTAAGTGGGATGGGATGATGAAATACATTGGCTTCATGATGGCTTCTTCCTATTCTTGCTTTTGAGACTTTCTGGAAGCTTTTGAAGGCGCAAACATTTTCCTTTGAAGTTTTATAAGTACTCTTTGCAGTCTCAGAGATGAGGTTATAAAACAACTCTGTGGTACATATTGCTTTGATTTCCTTTCCATTTCCAGTTGTGGGTAACTGGATTGAGTGTGGTAATTCTACATATTCAGTTGCCTGCCCCTTTCCCTCTTGTTTTTCAGAGTTGTAATCTGAATATAGCAGGAGCTTAGACATTTGGGACGTGCAATCCCAGCTCACGAGTAGTCAGAATTGAGGACATTTAAGTAGCTGCAGTGGGGACTGCTTTCTAGAAAGTTCTCAAGAATGTGAATATGCAGATGCAGTGTTCTCAATCCATGGTTTATATCAGTGGTCACCAACCAGTAGATTGGGATCTTCTGGTAGATCTTGAAGTCTGACAGGTGATCCTGACTGGTTTGGCCAAGACACTATCAGGCACAGCACTTCAGCTGCACCTCCTCCCACTGCTTTGCGTCTACTGCCCTTTGCATTGGAGCTGCTCGCCCCCTCCTGGGAGCCTCCTGCTTGCTGTGCAGAGCACGGAAGGGAGAGGAGAGAGCACTGATGTCAGTGTGCCCTTTCCCACCCTGCATTCTGTCTTCACAGAACAGAGGGGGGCACAGGGCTTGGGATAGAGGGAGTTTACTGACTGCTTTTGGGAGTGGTGCAGGGCCAGGAAAGGGGTGAGCCTGCCTTAGTCCCACTGCACCACCACCCAGGAGCCACCTGAGGTAAGCAGTGTCCAGCTGGAGCCAGAATCCTAAACCCCTGCCCCAATCATGAACCCCTCCTGCACCTCAAGCCCTTGTCCTAAGCTCCTTAGACTCAAATGCCCTCAGAGCCTGTACCCTGAATCCCCTCTACCCCAACTCCCTGCCCCAGGCTGAGCTCAGAGCCCCTCTCACACTCCATATCCCTTAGCCCAAGACCAGAGCCTATGCCCAAACCATCTGCCCCTCTCTGGTGAAAGGGAAAGATGGGGGAAAGAGGGAGGACAGGCATCTGCCCCTCTCTGGTGAAAGGGAAAAAGATGGGGGACAGAGTGAACAGGGGTAGGGCCTCAGAGAAGGGGCACAAAGGAGGCGGGACAAGGGTATTTGTGTGTGAGGTAGATATTGGATTGCACTTAAGTTCAAAAAGTGATCTTGTGATTAAAAAGGTTGGAGACTACTGTTTTATATAGTAAATTCTTTATTGCATTATATTACCACTAGGGGGAAGCATACTCTTTCCTTAAAAGCAGCTATCGTTCTTTATGAATTTATCTCTGCAGAATACCACTGCAGATTTCTCATGCTGTGTGATCAGTGAGCCATTTCTGAGCATTAGTTACTAGTTGGAGGAATATTACATACTTTCCAAGTTAGACATTGCATAAAATGGAACTATCTTGTGTAATGGTTTTTCCATTTCTTTTCATTCACCTGTGATAGTGGCCACAGAACCAATCTGTCCCTTTCTCCTTTGTTATTATATAATGGATAAATAGTTCTTGTGCACATTGTAAATAGGTATGGAAGAGGATCAGTGTTTTTATTAACATTTTAATTGATTTGGGCCTTGCTCAAGATCATGGAGTCACCTAGGAAGACTGTTGGGGAGGTTCTTTTGATTCTGCCTACTGTTCTTTGCTTCAGACAAATGTGAAATGCCTCAGAGAGGAACAAATACCAAAATGTCTTCCAACGATTTCAGCACATGTAGCTTCCAGGGCACAATCACTACCAAATGTCTATTAGAATTGACCAGGTAGGTCTAGAGCAGGCGTTGGCAATCAGTAGCTTGAGCGCAAAATATAGCGCACTAAGGAGCCAAATAGGCTCTTTTGGAGCCCCAACTCAGCCCCTCCTAGCTCCCCCTGCAGCACAGAGCCAGTGCTACAACCTTATGACCCCCCGCAAGACTGGAACACCAGTGCTGGCTTCCTAGGTGGGAGGGGGGACGAAAGCCCCATGCAGGGAACAAACAGGCTAAAAACTGCTCAGAGCAACAGCTCTTTCCTTCCCAGAGATGGATTCCTGGGACTGCTATTTTGTTGTTGTCTGTCCCCCCCCCCC